GCCATCAGAAACACGTGTGCACACTCAGCACGAAGACACTAATTTATGCATGTTTACCTGTCTTTTTTTTTGGTTACTGAGGATGGAATCCAGGGTGCTCCACCACGGAGCCACACTCCCAGCCCCTTTCATTCTGCATTTTGAGACAGGGTCTTGCTAAGTTGCCCAGGCTGGCCCGGACCTTGCCATACTCCTGCCTCGGCCTCCCGAGTTACTGGGATGGCAGGTGTGACCACCCGGCTCAGCATAACTTTCATTTCAGGTTTTAGGAAGTTTCGCTGAGTTCTTTTTTAATAACTCCCATTTCTCTCATCCTGTTGACCTTTTTCTTCAAAGTCTGTTTTAATTGTTCTTTCAGGGTCCTTGTCTGACAGTTCTATCATCGCTGTCATTTCGGGGCCTATTTCTGCTGACATTTGGTTACATTTCCCTGGGTTCTAGTCTGTGGGTGGCTTCTGTGGCGAACGCTGTTTTCTTGTTCTGTTAACCTGGCCCCAGGGTGGAGTTCCATTTAAAAGATGACATCAGTTAGCGGCTCACCTTGATCTTTTGTGGATTTTTTTTAAAAAAAAATAAGTTTGTTAGAGCAGATCTCCAGTGACTTTGCTCTAGGGACAGTTTGGCTGCCCTCCAAGGACTGGCCACTGCGGGGTCTCTACTGACCACCTGAGTGGTCCCCACGGCCTCCCACAGTGGCTGCTGGGGCTGGAGCTGCCCTGAGTTCCTGGGGACGGGCAGCTCTGTGGCTCATCCTTCGCCCGCGGGGCCTAGCAGTCGGGAGACTCTGGGACTAGAGGAGCCTCTGGTCTCTGGGGTCCCCTCCTTTCTGGAATGCTGCTTAAGCAGTCCCGAGCACCTGGACCCCGCACGACTCCCCCTGGCTGCTCTGGGCCAAGGTGGTGCAGTCCAGAGCTCCCTTGACTCTGGACGCTCCTCCCAAGGCCACGTGCCCACGTTGCTCAATTTCTGAAAACAGTTGATTCATACATTTTCTGTTTCTAGCTTTTGAGGCAGGAGGGTAACCCCAGGCTGCAACCCCAGCACAGCTGGAGCGAAAGGAGCCAGTTCCTCTTCCGAGAACAACTTGGGCTGTCTCCAGGGTCCTGTGCTGCCCTGGGCAGTAGTGGGCATTCCTGCACATACCCCTTGGCTCCCATGAATCTTCCTGGACCGGACTGTGCCACGATTTATAAACCTTCCCTACTTACCTCCAAATCACTGCCCAGTGGGCAGTACCCTGACAGCGTGCGGGGAGTCCCAGGCCACAGTCCGCCTCAGGTGGGTCCCTGCTGTGCAGCTGGTCGGGGACACTCCCCTCTGTGCTGTCCTGGCCCTCCTCCTGTGGCTTTCTCTTCCTCTGTCCACAGGGACACCGTCCCCCTGGGCACAGGGCAGCTGGCTGTGCTTGCCCAACTCGGAGTCCAGGGGCCCCGAAGCCCAAAAAGTCTTCCTTGCTGCAGCGATCTGTGGCTCTCCCCTGTGCCCAGGTCCTGTCCACAGCTCAGGAGTCCACACGTCTAGTAAGGAGGCAGGAGGAGCCTGACCTGGGGTCCCTTCCAGCGCCTCCACCTGCGCCCAGAGCTGCCTCCTTGGGTGAGCCTGGGGTGGTGTGGAGCAGCTGCTTGGCTCTGGAACCTCTTCTCAGGTGCCCCTGGGCAGGAAGGCCTGGGCCTCCATGTGAGGAGGTCGTGTCTGGCACCTAGGGTCACAGCTGTGTCCCGACCCGGGTTGCGGGAGCATGGGTGTTCACCAAAGGGGAGTGTGCAGGCCCTGCAGCGGGCGTGGCAGTGGGGCCTGAGCAGAGGAGAGCCCAGGGGCCAGGGACAGGAGCTCCCGAGAGGCCCCTGAGGTCAGGGAGAGGGCAGCGTGTGGCTGGAGTCACAGCCGACTGCTGGGACTCCAGAGAGTAGAGCAGCAGCGGTGGGGCCAGGGCCGGTGGAGGGCTGCCCTGGGGTCAGGGGGTTGGGGAATGTCCTGCAGGTGGGATCCTGGAGCCCAGAGGTGGCAGGTGGGGGGGCTGGTCCTTGGCTCCCAGTTCCTGCCAAGGCACAAGCAGGGAGAGGAGGACCAAGGGTCTCCGGAAAGGTGAGCTTGAGACGCGGCTGAGATGTCCGAGCTGGCAGACGTCCTGACCTGGAGCTTGGGTTCCCCAGCTGGGAACCGGCCTGCGTCACCGCGTTCCGCCGTGAGGAACAGGCTGGGTTTCCAGCAGTCGCCTGACCGCTGGGAAGTCCCAGGCTGCCCCAGCTCTCAGAGCCTCCTGACCATGTGTCTTGCACCCCCGTCCCTCTGCAGAGTCAGCTTCTCTGTCTACCTCTACCCTCTGCTGTGGGAGCTGGACGGTCCGCTATGGACATCCTGGAGCTGCCCTCCGCGTGCTGCCTTGTCTCTCAGCAGTTCCCACCTGGGTGGCCGGACTCCTCTGCCAGGTCCACCCTGGTCCATCCTCCTCTACAGCCTCCAGGCTGGACCAAGTCTCTCCAGCACAGAGGGGCTTGGTGCTCTGGCCCCCATGGGCACCAAGCACCCCTCTTAGGGTCGAGGACTAGTCGTGCCTCCTCAGGGTGGACCCCAGTACCTCTGTCTGCTCCACCCCTGCCCTCCCACCTTGAAGCACCTATCTCCCCTCCAGAGCCCCAGGTGGCATTAGCTGCACATACCAGAGCCCGCAGCACCAGAAGTTGACCTTTAGACTGCGCTCCTTCACTGGACCGGGCCAGGAGGGAGGAGCCAGGCCTGTCTCTCAGCCCCACTGGGCAGGCGTCCTGGGCTGCACAGAGCAAGGGAGGTGGAGGCTGTCCTGGAGGCAGAGGAGGGGAGGGGCCTGGGTGCCTCAGGACCCCATCCTCACACCCTCCAGGACCCCGTTCAACCACGTGGGTTCCAAACACCCACATTTCCCCGGATACTCCCTACAAGAAGAAAGGGGAAATGTCACAGGGGACTTCCAGACAGGCTGCTGGACTCTCTTGTGGGGAAGCTCGATCTGGGGATGACACACCTGAGACAGTAGCACCCTGGAGACTTGGGTCGCAGAGGGCACTGGGCAGTGGGGGCTCAGCTCTGGGAGGCTGCCCTCTTGGACTCCTGCTGCTGCCACCGAGCTGGGGTGGGGAGTAGCTCGGCCTGGTCTTGGTGGGAGACCTGTGTCCTGTGTCTGTGACCACCTGCCTCACCCCAGCCCTGAGGGTGTGCTGAGGTGGGTGGCCAGCAGGCCTCCTGTAGACACAGGAAGGAGGGCCCAGGGAGTGGACTCCTGGGCCACCCACAAGGAACATGAAACCCAAGAAGCCCCAGGGAGCCCCAAGTCCCACCTCTCCCTGCTGATTCCTGTGGGCCAGGGTGGAAGGGGGTGGGGAGTCCCAGCAGGTGACAGCTAGGGCTGTGGGCCACCTTGGGTAGGGAAGAGCTGGGTCCAGTCTGTTCCCCAGAGCCCTGAGCATGATGGTGATGCTGAAGGACTGAGCCAGGGACTGAGCTGGCCCGGGGCCTGCACTTCCACTTCGTGCCCTGCCGGACTTTGCCCCCAAGTGGGGAGGGGCGGCAGGCACAGCCTCCCACAGAGGCACAGGGTTCAAACAGCAATCAGAGAAGGCCTTGGGGAGAGGTGGCACGGCAGCAAAGATCCGAGCACAGATGGCATGGGTGCTGGGCCGGCCAAGGAGCTCCGGTGGCTCCTCCAGCCTGCATGCTGGGTGCAGGTCCTGGCCCTCACCGTGCCTCAGTTTCCCCACTTGCCGGGGGAGATGGCAGATGAGATGGTCTCTGAGGGTGTACTTGCTGGGTGTGGTGGACTGAGGGCCTGGGTGGGGGCCCTGGGGGCTGGACCAGGTATAGGCCCTTATCTCCCTCAGAGGAATCCTTTGGCCTCATTGAAGAGTGTCCCTGGGGGCCTGGGGATGTCCCTGCAGCCCAGAACCCACTGTGTACTCTCCAGGGCTCACTAGGGTTGGAAGAGCAGGGGGTGCCCCTTCCCCTTCACTGGAAACCCCCACATGTGCTGTGGCAGAGCCCAAGCGCCTGGGAAACAGTTGGCCCAGGCCCAGCTGTGAGATGGGTGTGGGAGCTGGGAGTGTCTCACCCTGCTGTCTGCCCCCACTCAGCCTCGAGGCAGTTGGAGAGCTTTGCCCCTTGGTCTGCTCTGCTCCACCCACCCTGCAAGCCTGTCCCTCCTCAGTCCCGGCTTTCCTCACCCACCAGGTGCAGTTAGGTAGTGACCAGGAGGACATCGGTGGCTGTGGCCCTGCCAGCCAGTGTGTCCTCTGTTAGGGGAAAGTCCTCCTTGGGACATCTGGACACCCCAGCTGACCCCAGTGCCCACAGCCAGTGATGCTGGGAGCTTCCTAGTGCAGTGTCCCTGTCCCCAGGGCTCTGCTTCAACTCTCTATGCCTAGGCACTTATGGAATGTCCTCCTGCAGACTGGAGGCACAAAGGGGTATGTGGGAGATAGTGCCTCTGGGGACAGAAGGGCCTGGGGCTGGACCCTGGAGAAGGACCTTGGACCACTCAGGACCTGGAAGGGCTCTAGGTCAGCCCAGGGCCGAGGGTCCTGCAGACTGGCTCATTGAGTGGCCTCTCGTCTTGTTAGGTGGAGAGCCACCTTTGACTGACCTCATGAGGTCAGCAGAGGGGTGCTAGGGCCCATCAGGGAGGCATGAATGTGATGGGGTGAGGGACCTTGAGGGGTTGCTGGGCTGCCTCTCATGAGCCCCTCGCTTGGAGGGTGGCAGTGGGGGAGTGCAGCCCAGTGGGGAGGAGGTCGGGGTCTGGTGGAGTTTCCACATGGGAGTCCTGAGCAAGGCTCTGTCATGCTCCGTGCCCCCAACCCAGCCCAAACTGCCCAGTCTGCTTGCCTCCCAGGGGACGAGTGGGGGCCCGCTCAAGGATGGCAAGGGGGTCAGGCTGGACCCTGCTCCCAGGTGCTGATGGAGAGTCACCCCTTCCAGAGCTGTGCTGGGAAGGAGCAGGCAGGAAGTGCGGGGAGGAGCCTGTGGGGGGGAGTGGCCTGTTGGAGGGAGCACACTCACAGCACTAGGCCAGCAGCAGGAAATCCTCAAGCTCATGTCACTGTCACCGCAAGTCGCTGGGAGCTACGGTGGGCCTGGAAAGGTAGGCGCTCTCTGGGGGGCGCTTCCGGAGGACACCCAGAGGGGGCTGGGCACGGGGCAGGAGAGGACTTTCTGGGCACCCCCGAGGCTGGTTCAGTGGCTCTGAGGCTCCTGTCCCACGGGTTGCCTGACGGCTCCTTCCTAGCAGTGCCCACACCCTCTGCTTTGCCTGGCCACTTCTGCCTCCCGCAGGCCCACCCTGAGCTTAATGGGACCTCAGCTTGGTCCTCTCCGTGGGCTAAGACCCTCCCTTCTCTGCAGGAAGCTACCCTGGCCCCTCCAACCAGTCACTCCTGCATCGGGGCGCAGTGGGCAGAGGGCTCTGGCGGGGACTGGAGCTCGCACTTGACGGCGTTAGTTTCTCTTTCTCTTTCAGATGTTGGGGGTTATGAGGAAGGCCGCGAGTCCTAGCCCTGAGCCTAGTCCTGCGGGTGGGGCTCCGGGGCCTGAGGAGCCCTGACCAGGGACATGGAGCCTCTGCCAGGCTGGGGGCTTCCCTGGTGGCGCCAGGAGCCTACAGCCAATGCCCTGAAGCTGGTGAGTCCCCAAGCTCTTCTCTGTCCCCAGGCCTTCCCAACCCCTCCTGCCCCAAAGTCGCCCCCAGCTGTGTCCCCTCCCCTGGCCTCTGCACTTGGCCATGTCTGGGTCCCAAGCTCACACGGGCCTTTGTGTCCCAGATGTTCAGCTTCCTGGAGCTGACCCAGGTCTCTGGGCACTGCCCTTGTTCTGGGGTTGGGGGCAGGGGTGAGCCCCAAGGGGATGGGTACTTCCCGGGGCTCTTGGCAGTGGAGTGAGCCGTGTCTTTGTGTGGGCCCTGGAGCAAGTGGAGCTGATCTCCCCCGCAGCTCTTCTGCTGATAAGCACCACGTGTGTTCAGGGCAGATAGATAGAGCCCAAGGGCTGGGCGGGGACTGGCTGGGCAGATAGAGTCCAAGGCTAGGCGGGGACTGGCTTCCGGTCAGGGTGGCTTTCTTGCCTGCCCAGATGGGTAAGCCCAAGGTCCTAGCAGGGCCACCCTCTCCCGGAACCTGAGCAGCCTGTCTGCCCACCCCAGGGTGTGACCTCCCCAGGGGCAGCAGGTCTAGCCCAGCCCAGCAGGGAGGCTGGCAGGGTGTCTGTCCAGTGGGACCCGTGGCTCCTGAGGGAGGTATGGGGCTCTTGGGGTCCCACATGGTCAGGCAGGGGAATGGAGGCTGGAAGAGTGTTCAATCCCACTCCACTCGAGGCTGTATAGGGTCTCTCAGGTCATTCCCTGAGCCCTACCAGGGCCACCCAGCCCTAGAGTGCTGTTCCCCACTCTACCGAGGGGTATCGAGGACATGCACAGCCTGGCGGAGCCCATGGGGCAGCATGGCAGCGGGGCAGCTCCTCTCCAATGCCCGTCCCCTTCCTGCAGGCCCTGTGTCTCCTCCTCCTCCTGGGATCCCCCCCTCCGTGTGCCCTTGCCCAGTTCCTGTGCAGAGAGGAGGAGTACCCTGTGGGCACCGAATGCTGCCCCAAGTGCAGCCCAGGTAGGAGCAGCCCTGAGCCCAGCTCCCGGAGCCTCTGTCCTCTGCCACACTGAGGGTGGCATGAAACCCCTGGCCCAGGGGCATAGACAGTCGGGGCAGTCCTCTGCAGCCTGGCTCCTCAAACCGTGGGCTTCTCGCTGCTCTGCTACCCAAGTGTGGTCCTGGGGGACAGAGCTGGCCTGGATGGCTACGGGCTGAGGCTTAGAGGGGGACAGGACCACAGCCAGGTGAGGTCCCAGGAGGCCCCATGTTCTGCCAGAACTTGCAACCTGCTCCAACGCAGGCCCAGCCTTGGAAGAGCTGGGGAGCAGCGCAGTGTCCTAGGGTCCTTATGGTTGGTGTCACACCTGCTTGGGGCTCAGGCGGGTGTGAGGGGTGGGCTCCCGCCTGGCCCCCTGTGGCTGAGAAGCTGTGGACACCCTGGGCTGCAGGTTACCACGTGAAGCAAGCCTGCAGTGAGCTGTCAGGCACAGTGTGCATACCCTGCCCCCCCGAGACCCACACCGCCCACCCCAACGGCCTGAGCCAGTGTCTGCCTTGCCGAGTCTGTGACCCAGGTAGGAGCCGAGCAGCTGCCTGCCCCAGCACACCCACCTCCATGGGTTCTCCCTGCAGGAGCTGCCTGCAAGGGACCCTTGGGCCCGTGTCCCCCTTGTCATGCCACCTGGGCCTCCCTGAGCTCAGGCTCTGGCCCTTCATGAGGGCACCACCAGCCGGGGGCAAGTCCCCACCTAGCCACAGGCCAGCGTGCCTCCATCAGTGAGGAGGTTCTCAGGGTCGCATGTCCCAACTCCTCATCCCTGGGGTCCCATCTGCACAGCCATGCGCCCTGTGGTCTCTCTCCCTCCTTGGCCTTCTGTGTCCAGCACCTCAGATACTGGCAGCTTTCTGGGCTGAGGCAGAGTTGGGGCCCCGAGTGCTCCCTATCCCCAGCCCTCCCCGGGCCTGGGGCCGAGCCCCTAGCCCACCGGAGCTGTCCAGTTCCACCCTCCCATTGGAAGGGACACTCCTTGGCCCTGGCAGCTTCCTCGCTCTCAGAGGCTCTCTTGGGTTCCAGCCTTGGGCTTGGACACCAGGCAGAAGTGCTCCAGCATGCAGGACACGGTGTGCGGCTGTCGCCAAGGCTACTTCTGCGAGGCCGAGGACAGGGAGCACTGCATCATGTGCTTGCCCCACACCATCTGCCACCCTGGCCAGAGGGTACAGAGGAGAGGTGAGCCAGTCGGAGGTGTCTACCGCAAACTCACCTTCATTCCCAGCGACCCTGCTGCCTGAGTCCCTGATGCCCTGGACATCATGACCAGCTTGGAGGTCTTTAAAGGGACAGAAATCTTGGCCAGACCAGGCCCCACCCTCCCAGCCCTGTCCTGGCAGCAAGAAAGGAGGGAAGCCCTGCAGCAGGGGAGAGCAGAGGGGGAAGTGGGCCCTGGTGGCTTCACCTCGTGGTCAGGCCCTGAGTCCTCCCACTTCTCTCACACACCAGGCGGGGAGCCCAGGTGGATGGGGTGGCCTGTGGTCAGTGCACTCTTCTCCCTGAGTGTGAAGTGTGACCCCCAGGTCCCGCCCGGTGTCTGACCAGGGCACCACCCACATCACTTATGGAAGGAAGGCCCAGGGGACCCTGGGATCTGATTCCCTGCTCTGGGTGTCCAGGACAGTTCCAAACACCATCCCCACTATAACCCAGTCCTTCAGGAAATGGAAGTCCCAGAAGAGACAGACCCCAGGCCCCGCCCCAGGGAAGCCCAGTTCCCTCCTGGCCTGGAGCCCATGGCCCCTCTGCCCGTCCCTCTCCACCCGCAGGTACAGATAGCCAGGACACAGTGTGTGCCAACTGCCCACTGGGGACCTTCTCTCCCAACGGGACCCTGGACCAATGTCTTCCCTGGACCACGTAGGTGATCCCAGGGGTCTCGTCTTTGCCCTAGGGAGAAGGGGCTCCTCCAACTCCCCTGGGAAACGAGGGCCCTGTCCCCGCAGGCAGTGCCTCATGTCCCACACTGGGTGGAACCTCTGTCACCAGCAGAGCAGCTAGGGGCCTGCACCCCACACACAGGCCACGTTAGCCTGGAACGCAGCCTTGGAACAGCCCTTGTAGCTCCTGCAGGTGCAGGCGGGTCCAGCAGAGACGATGCTCACCATCCACCTCTGTGGGCCTGGGTCTCGGGTGTCCAGGTCGGGGGGCTACCTGCACTTCTGGAAGGAGCAGTTCTCAAAGTGAGGACCCCACTGCTCCTGAGCCAAGTCCCAGGCCCTAGTACCGACTTTGGTCCTCGGGGTCCCTGTGGTGGAGGTGTGACTGCCCCAGGGAGGGTGCAGGCCCTGCCCATCTGACTCTCGTCCACTCCCCAGGACTTTCCTTTCTTTTCCAGCTCAGGCTCCCTCCCTGGTCCCTCTCCCTCTATCTTCCCCAAAGGGCTTGGGCGTGTGGGGCAAGCCTGAGGTCACAGTCTAGAGCCGCCACCCACAGAGCTGCACTGAGCCACCCAGAGCAGGACCCTCCTGGGGTCTGAGGGCCTCGGCTGACATACTGCTGTCCCCTAGGTGCAGGGGACTTTTTGCCATGGAAGCCGAGCCGGGGACCAGCAGCAGGGACGTCTCCTGCTCCCTGTCCCGGTGGTTCTATGTCTTTGTGTCCGTCCTCCCCCTCTCCGTGGTGATCGTCCTGATGGTGTGGGTGAGGAGAAAAAGACCATGTGGTAAGCAGTGTTGCTCTTTCTGTCAGGGTTAGGGCCCCAGCAGGGGCTGCTCAGGGGCGCCACAACTGTGTCCCCACAAGCCCTGGGTGGCAGCCACCAGGACATCCCCGGGATTCTTGGCTCTTCTCCGAGGCAGCGTTAGCGGTGGGGGCTGGGTTTCCTGCTTTGCCCAGGGCCCAGGTGTCAGGCGGCTTCCCTGTGGGGACCCGAGGGTCCTATCTGCTGCCCACTGGAGCAGGGGCCCTGGCCCCCATCTGCCTGTGGGGCCTGTGGGGAGGGAGAGCCTGGGGCTGGGGGTCGGTGGCTGGCCACCGAAGACAAGGTTGTGTCCCCGCTGGGCAGCCCAGGCGTTGTCCACCTACTCACAAGCCCTGGGCCAGCGTTCCACTCTCCTCCTCAGCTGTGCCAGGCTCAGCGCAGAGTGTGCCGCCCTGCGCACAGTCCAGGGGAGCAGGCACCCCACAGAAAGCCAAGGGGCCAGGTGGGCCACACGCTCGGGCTTCGGGTCAGACATCTGTGTCTCACCCCTGGGTCTCCCAGGTGCAGGGCCATATGGGAGCCTCAGGCACTGAGGCAGGCCAGGAGTGGCCGGTCCCCCTTCTCAGCCCAACCCAGGGCCTCTGCTCCTGGGAACGGGGCCTCCTCTGTGAAGTGCTGTCCCTGCTGTCAGGGTGGTGGTGGGGCTGCAGCGAGCCGTGGCCTGGGGTGTGCCAGGCGGGGTAGGCAGCTTTTTCTCTGCTGTGACCCAAAGATCTCACAAGAACTATTTTTGAGGGAGAAAAGCTTATTTGGGGCTCATGGTTTCAGAGGTCTCAGAACACAGGTGGCTGACTCCACAGCTCTGGGCCCAAAGTGAGCCAGAACATGAAGGCAGAAAGTGTGGGGGAGGGGAGCAGCTCCGGACCTGGAACCAGGGAGCAGAACCAAGCTCACCAGGAACAGCACCCCTGCCCACCCCTCCTGCAGTGAACCCTTACCCCTGAACCGATGCTCTGATCAGCGTCCATCACCCGTCTCACCTCTGAACACTCCTGAATGGTCTCCCGTATGGGCTTTGGGGGCGACCTCCCGTCTAAGCCATAGCATCAGGCCAGGGCCTGTTTTTCCTATGTTGGACCCCGGGAATGAGGCCTGGTAAGGAGCTACGTCCCTGGACCATCTCACCTTGTCTCAGAAAAGGTCATTCTCTGGGGAAAGGCCACAGAGCCAGAGGCCCAAGATCTGGCTGCCACCCCGTTGCTGTGGGCCTGTGGGCCCTGGTGGGGGACTCTGGCCCCTCCTGACGCTGTCTTTGTATTACAGGCTCTGAGCGCAGTGAGACGGTTGTGCTGCAGGTATCAAGGCTCACCCGACCCCTGGGGCTGGTGTTCTAGGCCGGTGGTGGGTGGGAGGGGTCTCCCAGCTGGTCAGTGGCCCTGGGTCCTTATCTTGCAGCCATGCTGATCTCTTGAATGGACTTGGGTGCCCCTGGGAACCAGGAGGCTGGGGGTGGGGCCCTGAAGGCAGGCCTTCACCCTGCCTCATCCCTTGCAGCGGCAAGTAGAGGAGGAAGCCGGTGAGTCTGCAGTCACCCAGGCTCCAAAAGTCACCACGGTGGCGGAGGAGGAGACAGCACCCGTGTTGAGGGCAGTGGGCCCCCATCGATGAGCCACAGGGTTGGGAACCAGGTGACTCAACCTACCGGAAGCAGACGCATACCTGGCCTGAGTGCGGCACCTGCCCTCGGCTAGGTCCAGCTGCAGCAGCAGGAAAGACAGGGCTCTGGCTCAGGGCACTCAGGGATGTCACAGCTGTCCCCATCCGTCAAAGGGGGTCCAGAGCCCCCCCAGCAGCCCTGGTGCAGCTTCCTGCAGAGGCCCAGCACCATGAGGACACAGCGAGGCTGCCTCTGGCTCCAGCCCTCCCAGCCAGCCCTCCCGAACCTCAGGCTGCTCATTTGGAGGGTGTGTCTGTGGACGCTACCTCACGGGGCTGGGACTGCCAGGAGTGTGGCATTAGGTGACTATTCCAGTTTGGGATGATTTTGTAAGTGGTTTCTGTCCTCTCGCTTTTGTCATAAAGTACATATTCTGGTTAGATGCCGAGCCACTGGGTGCATCTCGCTGACCACTGGACTCCCCTGCCGCACGCAGTGGCAGCAGCACCTCGTCACGGCAGCACAGTGCCACTGTCCCAGCATCCTGCTCTTCCCTCAGGGAGTGGCAGGAGGGATGGCAGGGTGTCTCTTCCCCTCTGCACTGACACTGCTCACCTGCCCCTTGACATACAGTCTCTAGTTCTGCCCCCCAGGGCTCAAGTCCGTGGCTCGCCTCACACCATTCCTTTGCCGCATCCCCACCCCTCAGTGAGAACGTCCCTAAGTTCCTGTCCAGCAGCGTGCTCGGGCTTTTCTTGCTCTTTCCCTGCCTGGGTCCTGGATCAGTCACGTCTCCAAAGAGCCCTGGTTGCTTCCTGAAGAACGGAGTGTCAGACCAACCCCAGGAGCCACAGTGACGGGCCAGCCAGCTACCAGGGTGTCAGGGGGACAGACCTAGGATCACTCCCCTGCACGTGTGTGGCAGATACTGATGTGTGCATGCAGACTCGCCACCAGGAGCCAGGTGTGCGGGTGTGTGCGTGTGGGTGCACTGAGAGGTGTAAGCCGAGGTCCACACGGGTCTCTGGCTCTGCTTGCTGTTAGGGTCTGTAAACAAGCCAAGATGGCACCTGGCATTTTGCCAGGGGGAGTGCTTTGTGAAGTAACGCCAGCGAGCCATGAAGCGTGGAGATTCCTGATTGGCTGACTGCTGTATCTAGTTCATGTTAATTAAGATCAGCTGTGTGGAATGTCTATCTACCCCTCCTGTCCTACAATAAATGGCTCCCACTCCTGCTGAATCATGTACACAAGTTGCTCGTCACCCCCCGGTTATTTTGCTGCAGCCGGACTGCGGCAGCTTGCGACTTGGCCGGCCCCTCTGCCTGTGCAGCGCCTGCTGATGGACAGCTGGCTCCTCCATCCCGAGCCCCTTGCAGGGCGACCCAGGCTCAGAGCTGCTGCCTGCCCACAGGCTCAGGGAGCTCCGTGGCCTCCTTTCTTTAGCTCCATGTTCAGCCCAGGTGTGCACAGAGGGATGTGGGCTGCTTTTTATTTCCTCTCCCTTTTATTTTTTTTGGTGTGGTCATTTTTTTTTTTTCATGTGAAATATAATTTCCTTCATTATTTGAGTTTCAATTCTGTTTTGCAGAATTTATACCCGATTCTTGTTGATTCTCTCTGTATCTGTCTACCCATTTTTTTAAATCTGTGGGACATTAATAAAGACTTAAATGTTAATGTCAGTGGCCCAGGCAGTGACAGTGGCTCTGTCAGTGACAGACAGGCAGAGAGTGGCAGATTGTGGAAGAATATGCCATCAGCGAGAATCCCATCCTAAATATCTGCTGTGGGTAGATTGGGCAGGCGTGAGGGAGACCACATTACCACAGAGACACCACCACCAGGAGTCCACAGGCACCAGGAGGGACTTCCGCTACCATGGGGGGCTCAATCCACCAGAAAGCCACATCCACTGTGGGGACCCCGCTTGACCTCGGGCTGCCGCCCTAAGTGTCTTGGCCACTGTGGCCTCTGAGCACCTGGCCTGCATTCCCCAGATGATTTCCCAGCAAGCTCTAAAGGGCAGGCCATGGGAGTGGGACGTGGGCTGTCGTGCAGCTGTGGTCCAGAGGGGGGCCTGCCGACCTGCCCCGTGGGCTTGAGATAAGCCTTTGGCTGTGTGACACCCCCTCCTTCTGACCCAATCATGGGACAGACCCTTCTTCTGCTGCCAGGCTACTTTGTCCCTAAGTCCCCAGTAAATCTCATTCGGTACAGAGCAGACTGTCTGCCTCTGTTGGGTCCCCCGGCCCTGGGGCACGGGAGGGTCCTTCTGGACTGGCTGTTCTGGATTATCACCCAACAGCAAAGCTCCAGATTAACTGAGCAGCACCACATGATGGAACAGAAGGGCACCCCACCCACGGCCCTCAGGTTGGCAGAAGGAGCAGGCCAAAGACCTCAAGCACAGAGGTGGACTTATCCCTGACACAGGAGCAGAACATGCTCTTTCCAGGGCCCAAGGAGCTCGATCCAGGAGCCGGAGCTGGGTCTAAGAGCATCGCTGTGGGCTGAGATGTGGCGAGCCGTGGGGGACGATGCTCCCCAGCAGCTGGCCACAGCACCTGAGCATGCTGGAGGGCTTCGTGGAGGTGCATCCGGGAGCCCCCTGGCCTTTCCCAGGGGTGCCCAGAGATGTCTCCTCAAGGGCCACAGCTACCTGGGCTGTGTGAGGGTCTGTGGGAACAGCACGGTGGCAGGACGCCTGTCTAAAGAAGGTGGTTTTATTCTGCTCTTTGGATTTCAGACAGCTTCTTCACCCTGGGGAGACTGCCCTTCCCAGGAGAGGCAGGTCCTGCCCCCCAGAGTCCACTGAAATGTCTCACACTGTTGTTCCTCAGCCCACTCACCCTGCCTCGCCTGGCCTTTACCACAGAAACCACAGCGAAGGCTCTTGCCCAAGCAGCCCCTCGTATCCTCTGCCTCCTACAGACCCCGGTGCTTCCCCACGTGGCCCTTTGTGGCACGGGTCACTCCCTCCTCCAGGGACCTGAAACCAGCCAGCTTCTCAGTGGTGGAGGGGAGGGGGGTTTCAATCTGCTGGCCTTGCTACAATCTGCTGGTAAACTGTGCCGTGGAAAAGAGGCCACTAGACAGAAGTGGGGTGTCTAATCAGGGAGGGCCCTTGGAGGGACAGGGCCTGGTGGGACCTCAGTGCCAGGTTCTGGTGCCCTGAAGAGGTGGAGACTGGGGGGGGGGGGGGGGCGGGATGGGGAAGAGGAAGGTGCCACCCTGCCATGTGGCCTCCCGAAAGCCTCAGCTGAGTCACCTTGACCCTCCTCCGCCAGTCACTGGACAGCAGCTGCTCCAGGTAGCTAAGGGTCAGCCCTGGGAGGGAACATGGCTGAGCATGGAGTGATCAGGAATCCACTCTTTCAGGTCAGAGGCGCCTGTCCACCTGGACCCCTCTGCAGCAGACCCTCCCACCTGCGCCCCCCTGAGCACCATGCCAGTCACTTTACCCTCCATCCACCAGGGCCGAGCCCACAGGACACTGGGCTAGGGAAGCATGCAGAGAGGACACAGGCACCAACAGGAACTGTCCAGACAGGAAAAATGCTGAGAGGCCAGTGTGGAGTCAGAGGAAGAAGCAGGTGGCCCTAGCTCTGCCCTGCTGGGGGCAGCCCTGGGGGCGCAGGGTGGGCTCTTAGGGCCAGGAGTCCACCAGGGAAAGATGGCTGGGGGCATGGCTGGAAGGTGGGACCTCCAGGGTGGGGCTGTGGGTTAGGGCCCCTCCCCTCATTGCCTTCATCCCACTGTATCCCTGAAGCATGGCCCTGACCAGTCTCCTCTCCAGCTGTGGGGAAGGAGGTCTCAGCTCACCTGCCAACATACACACACGGATCAAGGAGCCCCGGTGCCCTCTCGGGGTTCCTGGGCCATGCTGGCACCATGCGGACTGCACACAGCAGGAGTCTTTGCCGCGGAGACCCTGAGCTGGGGGAGTCCACTGTCCCTAGCCCTCTGCTCCTATTCCTGGTGGGTTCTCAGGGTGAACTCGAGCCAGAAATAAGTAAAGCTGGGAGACTGTCAGGAGCAGATCTCAGCAGGATTACCAGACTGCCACCACCTACAGCCTTGCCGGGCGGGCGGGCCCCTTGTGTGTCCCTCACACAGAAACCCGTCCCCTGGCGTAGGCTCTGCCTAAGTGGCCCTACAGAGAGGGCCCGTCGCTTAGAGGCCCCGCCGCTGTCTTCTGTGGGGCAGTCTTCCCTGGCAACTGCCCATCCAGTCCCTGGTCAGCCTCACCCTGGTTACTCATGCTGGTGGCTGAGGATTATTGTTTCAACGTTTCTTAAGTCACCCTCCACATTTTGCCTTCAAAAGTGTCCCCGTGCCTCAGCCTTCTGAACAGGCTGGAGCTCATTGTGACATTCGAGTTCCTGTTGCAACGCTCCATTAATCCCAGATACGTGTTATTATTCTTTGGAAAATCCTTCCCTGATTGTTATTAGGTTGAGAGAGTTTGGGCAAAAATGGGCAGTGAAGAGATAAAGAGGCGAAGACCGGGTTGAAGGATCCCAGACGCACAGCTGTGGAGCTGTGCACTTGGTACCCAGACGCCGCAGAGCTTGTAAGCTCTCACGGGCGTTGTGGGGTCCAACATTCCCGCTGAACTAGTGACCGCTTCCTGGTGGGAAACTGAGCCTCAGCTCAGGGGCCCTGGCCATCACGGCCACTGAGGGGCTTCTTGCCCATGCAGGGAAGCAGCAGGCATGGTCCTTGTCCTGCTGCAGGGGCCACCTTGGCACAACACCTATTCTTTGGCAGAGCCTGGGCTTTGCCCCCCTGCTTGTGACAGGCTGATGACAACCCAGATGTATTTGGACTTTATTTTTTAGAGTAGTTTGGTTTAGAGTAAAATTGAGCAGAAGGTATGGAGAGTCCCCAGATGCTTGCGGTACATTTGATTTTTAACCTCCTCTTCCCAGAGGTGAAGAGGGCACAGTGCCCTTTGGAAAAATACAGGCAGGACCCTGTGGGTCCACCCGCCATTTGAGGAGCAGGGCCCTCAGGGGGACATTGTGGATCTCCACGCTTGTGTGGGATGCACCGTCACAGCAGGTCCACCCCCGAGTGCTGTGGCAAAGGACCGGCTCTGCAGGGGACAGGTGGTGCTGCTGTGAGGTTGAGATGTCTGAAGGTCTGCGTGTGGACAGTGCACTGGATGTGGATTCAGTTTTTGATATTCATTTGGCGCAGTTTGAGTGACCTGCGAGCCCCCGACCCCATTCTGCTTTCAGAGAGTCTGACCCAAGAGGGTCAGTCCTGCAGCAGTGTTGGGGGGCAGCCCCCAGGCAGGGTGAGTGCTGAGCTGCTCTGGAGGGAATGAGGCACACTGGGTCAGGGCTGGCAGTCTGCCCTGGAAGCAATGGGGTCCGCGTGTTAGGGATTAAACCCAGGGCTTTGTGCACAGGATGCCAAGCAAGTGTTCTACCCCTGAGCCACCGGTACCCCCAAGCTCACGGGCAGTGTGTGTACTGCAGGACTGGGCAAAGTCAGCTGTCCTTTACCAGGGGCTCTGTAGTCATTGCCTGAGGCTCGCTTCTCCTGGTGCACATCTCAGGCCTTGCTGGAAGGGTCAGGCAGGATGGCATGTGCAGGGTCCACTTGGGACGGAGCTGCAGGCCTCAGCATCTTCCAGCCCACAGGTAAACTGGGGTCCCCGCTTCCCAGGATGTGGAGAGCATGCTCCCAGAGGCTGAGGACATACTGTGTGGTCAGCAAAGGTGGACATCAGGGTCTGAGACTCAGGTACAGGGGGCCCATCCAATGTGACTCAGCAGGACCTGTCTTGGGTCCAGAGATCCCCACCACATCAATGACCCTTCCTCAGGCACATGTACGCATCTGTGTCCTGGGCAGAACTTTCCCAGTGTTTGCAGAACTTGGGGCAAGAGCAGAGAGGTGACATTTGGGGAGGCAGGAAGCCACGTACAGCAATCAAAGAAAAGGAAGCCAAACCACAGTGTGAGGCAAACATGGGAAGATAGCTCACCCTGTTCACAGAAAAGCAGATGAGGACTTCCTGTTGCACTGGGACCCAACGTATTCATTTGTTTATTTATGGCTTCTCAGAATAAGGAAGAAGAAGAGGAGGAGATGAGACAGCATCGTTGTGACATAATGGCAACCCAGTTCCCAACGGAGCAAGATGCCAACCATGGCACTGCTGGCCCCCATGCTGTAACTGTACCCAATTACCACTATTTGTCCCCCCTCCAGTGTGATGGTGTTAGGAGGGGCCTTTGGAACGAATGGGATCACTGTCTTTACTTCAGAGCCCCTGAGAGACTCTTCTCCCTCTGTCCACCCTGTGAGGGGCCGTCTGTGAACCAGACACAGGCCCTCACCAGACACCAAATCTGCTGGCACCTTGTCCTTAAATCTTGCAGCCTCCAGAACTGAGGAGAAAAGTGTCTGTTGCTTATAAGGCACCCCAAATATACTCAGGGTGAGCGGCAGGAACGGGCTCAGGGCTGGCCACCTGAGACCACTCTTGTCAAACATCCGACAGCGGGCAGACTGGGCTGTCATTCCAGTGTGAGCTCATCCTGAAGGGTCACTTGTCTGAGGGCCCTCTTGGGTCCCCACACACTGCTGAGGGTGTCAGTAATGGAAAGCCCTCCACACTGTCCACCCAGCAGCTGCCCAGCGTTGAGTTTGTCCTGAAAACCCTTGAGGGGAAGAGCAGCAAGCTCAATGCAGTTCCAGGGACACTGGACTCCCCCAGCTCAGGGCCCCCCAGCAGCAAGGATGCCCACCGTATGCGCAGCCCCACCAGGCCCTGGAACGTGGGGCGACACACAATGGCCCATGTGATCTGCACTGCCGTGAGGAGTCGAGTCCTCTGTCTCTGACCCAGGAGTGTGGGTCTCCTGCCAGCATCCGTGCCACAGCAGGCCAGCTTATTCTTAGACCTGACAGTGCCCTGTGGAGGTGCCCCTGACACCCTCCAAGACACACAACGAGCTCTGGCTAGCAGCCCATGAGCAGAAGTGACCTGCCGCAGATCTGTGTGGCTGTAAGAGCCATGACATGACCTCTGTCTCCTGCTCTCACCTGCCTGTCTGGAGATTGGCGCGTTCCAGATGGCCACGGCTGACTCAGCCTGGGTCCCAGAATGAGGGTGGTGTGAAGAGCACAGCCACACTGTGCCAACAGGACACATAAGCAGGGGTCAAACACAGCTGATCGGCTGGGGCTTGGGGCTCATTTGTACCTGCAGCAAACCCAGCAAAGCTGATCAGCAAGCTGTGGATGGACGGAGTCTATAAACAGACGGTAGGAGCTGTCCTCTGAGGATGTCTGCCCTACTCAGATAAAGGCAAATGCATCTGTATGTTTACCTCCAGTTTTGTGCCACATAAGAATGGAGTTCAGGACATGGCCCTCCAGCATACGCAGAAGACTGTTCTGACCCCCTTTCTGTTTCTTAAAAGCAGAAAATGAGACTAGGGCTGTGGCTCAGTGGCAGAGCACTTGCTTTGCATGCACCAGTCCCGACTCCCAAGCGCCAGGTCCTGGCGCTCACCTAAAAAGGAAAACAACAAGAAACCAAACAGATGGAGAGTTTACTACGTGAAGTTCCTCCCTCCCCCGCCCACTGGAAGTAAAAGCAACATCCTTATCTTCATTCAATGAGAAGCTGCAGCCATCGCAAGAATTCTGCACTGGCTTTGTTAAAACAACTACTTTCTGGCCTGTAATCCCAGCTCAGGAGGCTGAGGCAAGAGGATCGCAAGTTCGTGCCAGCCTCATTCAGCAATTTATCGAGGCCCTAAGAAACTTAGCCAGACCCTGTCTCAAAAACAAGCAAACCCTCTGACCTTCTCCCTACCCTCAATTTAGTTAACCTCTTCCCAACTTCCTATTCTTTGTCCAGCGGAGTGAAGAAGACCGGCTTCTAACTGCTTCTTTGTATTCTTTATTTCCTTGGGAGGATTCCTGTGCCCAGGCTCCAAGTCCACTCACCTGCTCCGCTCTCCATCCTCCGCCCTCCACCGCCCTCCACCGCCCTCCTCTCCGCCTCCCCGCCCCGCCCTCCACCTCCCCGCCCTCCACCTCCCGGCCCTTGGCTCCGCCTCCCCGCCCTTCTCCCCGCGGTCCCACCCCATCCCCGCCCCTACAGGGCCGCGCCGCCGCTCTCTGCGCAGGCGCACCGTGTGTGGAAGACTGACAAGCTCCGCCATTGGTCGCCATTGGTCAGCGGGCTTATGCATATGTAAACGAAGTGATCCCGTCCCGACCAGGCTTCGGCTTTGGGCCCGGAACCAGGGACGGTGCTAGGGGCGGTGCTAGGGGCGGTCCGGGCGGAACCGGGTCGCAGGGCGGAGGCGGTACCGGGACCCGGCGCTCTACCCTAGGCGCAGCCGCAGTGGGAGAGGATCGCGGCGCCAGGACCTGGCGCTTCGGAGCTCGGCCGTGGCCATGAGTCCTGTGGACCTTTCCCGCGTGGGCGCCTGTGTCCTGAAACATGCAGTGACTGGGGAGGTGAGCGCCGGGCAGTGGGCGTCGGATCCTGCCGCGGATCCCCGGTTCCTGCTGCGCGCCCTGGCAGCGCTCGAGGCTGCGGGTGGGGGTCTTTGGGGGGCGCTGGCTGGGCTGGCGGGGCGTGGGTGTGGGCGTCGGTCCGGCGCTTCTTGACCTTACGGCCCCGCAGGCCGTGGAGCTGCGGAGCCTGTGGCAGGAGCAGGCGTGCGTGGTGGCCGGGCTGCGGCGCTTCGGCTGCATGGTGTGCCGCTGGATCGCCCGGGACCTCAGCAACCTCCAGGGTGTCTTGGACCAGCATGGCGTGCGCCTGCTGGGCGTCGGGCCGGAGACCCTGGGCCTACAGGAGTTCCTGGATGGTGGTTACTTTTCCGGAGGTGCGACCCTTCCCCAACTCTGGGTGTTTGGCTGTCGCTCTGCCCAGCCCTGGCCTGGAGGTGCTCTCGTGTCGGAGTCCTCGTACTCCTGCGGCATCCTGGTCCCCCTGTTGTGCCCTTGCATTCCTGGCCTTCCAATTCCACCGGTCACTTCTTTATCTCAGTCCCTCTTCTCAACAATGGGGAACTCACCTTACCTTGTCCCTCCTGACCCAGGATGGATGAGCTGGGCACGGTAATCGGTCAGGAGACAGGACAGGATGTAGGAGGGTGAACCTGAGTGGGGCCAGCATGGGGCCTGGTACACACACCTGTGCTTTCCTTTCCAGAGCTTTACCTGGATGAGAGCAAGCAGTTCTACAAGGAGCTGGGCTTTAAGCGGTAAGTGTGTTGGGATCCAGGGGTCCAGGGTGTGCATTGCCCCCTTATTCCTGCTGCCCTCTACTGGCTCTGCCCTCAGTAGGCTGGCTCTGTTAGCACTCGCAGCTCCAGCCAGCTCCTCCGTCAGCCTGTTTCTGGGGTGTTACTTGTTCTGTGACAGGCTTCTCACCTAGGCCTGCCTTTAGCAGGCTGCAGTGTCCAGACTGCCAGAGAGGGTTTTGGAGTCCAGTGCCTCCATCAGGGGCCATCCCAGCCTTCTGGTGCCACAGGCTGCCTGCCTGCCCTGACTGGCAGGGCCAGCTGAGCAGATCGTTGGGCATGCTCAGCTTGGGGCCTGGTCCCCCCGCTTCACACCCTTGGTGGGGCTCCAGGCCAACTGTCCCCAGGCTGGGTGTCCTAGGGCTCCAGTAGCTGCTCCTGGCTGGGGTGGTTGCTGATCTGATTGCCTTGTGCCATCTCTGAGCCTCTGGTGAGATGAGTGGGCAGGGCAGAGCTTGAGCCAGAGCTGGTCTGTGCATCTGCTGGAGGACCGGAGGGTGGGCTCTGGGGCTCGGGCTCCACCAGAGTCTGGGCTAGCAGGCTGTGTGTTTGCAGGTACAATAGCTTGAGCATCCTTCCAGCTGCTCTGGGGAAGCCTGTGCGCGATGTCGCTGCCAAGGTACTGTGATGGCCAAGGTCAGCAGGAGTCGGGGCAGTTCCTCCCTCTAGGACTGACTTCAGCCTGTTCTTTTCCCTCCAGGCCAAGGCTGTTGGCATCCAGGGGAACCTGTCTGGAGACCTGCTGCAGAGTGGAGGGCTGCTGGTAGTCAGCAAAGGTGGGCTCGGGGGGCTCCAGGGCACGTTCTCAGTGGGAAGGCCTGGGGAACTGGGTGGCTGTTTTTGGCTTTCCGTCTGCCCCAGTTCCTCCCCGTGGTATGTTCTGGCCCTCAGTGTTGGCTTGGCAGGGTGGGCTGTGGGCAGAACAGCTTTCTTGTCTCTCTAACTAGGTGGAGGTTGTGACTGGCCAGGGTTGCCAGGGTCAGCTGGTCTCCTGTCACATGAGTGCAAGGTTCAGGTGGCCTCCCAGTGTGCCCTGACCATCGATCTGCTTTTATAGGTGGTGACAAAGTTCTGCTGCATTTTGTCCAGAAGTCCCCAGGTGATTATGTCCCCCAGGAGAGCATCCTGCAGGCTCTGGGCATCTCTGCAGAGACCTTCACCAGCGAACCCCCTCAGGTGAGCCGAGGCCTGCCTGCTGCACACGGCACACCCCTCCCCTGGGCCAGCACTGGCACGGCCAAGTGCTGAGCTGCAGCCTCTGGGGATTTATGTTTTTTCCTGCTCATGGTATCCCAGGATTTATGTCATTGTGACCCCACTTGCAGAAGGGATCAGAGTGTAAGGGACTGAGGGGCAGTATGACTAGGTGGACAGGCATATCTGGACCCACCCCTATGGGTGGTGGCTCTAGGGCAGAGAAAGGGCTCTTTTTTGAGCCTTGGAGGCTGGGGAGGGCTTGGGTTTTCCCAAGGCTCCTCTGTTGGTCATAATGTGGTCTTGGTGGCCAGCTTCCTGTGCCCCAGGTGGAGGGGAGTGAGTGCTGTTCAGGTGGGTGGCCTCCTGCCTTAAGTATGTCCCTTTCTGTATGTGGGTGGGTGAGCCCCACTGTTCTTGGCACCCGGGGAATGTGGCTGGCCTGACAGGACCCCTGCTGTCCTTGCAGTGTGACGAGGAGGCGTGTAGGAGGTGATAACCCTGAGCTCCTCTGACCTGGGAGGCGTCTGCTGCCTGGGGTGTGCTGGGAACCAAACCAGAAGAATCGTCACAGAGCTGCTGGATTAGGGTGCTGGACTGTTCTGCTCCTCGGGCAAAAACAAGCCATTAAAACTGCAGCTCCTAGGTCAGCACGGTCCTCCACTGGCTCTGCACCTGTGTCCTCTGTGGCCCCACCTCCCTCTGGACTGGAGAGGCAGTCCTCCAGGAGCCAGGGTATCATCTTCCCACCATGCAAGTGGAGGGGACACATCCTGCAGTCTGCAGACTTCAGGCCCCTGGCACACGTGGCCCTGAGGACAGCCCTTGCTGTCCTATCGTTTCCTCCCCAGGCGGTCTCATGCTCTGACCCATCTCTGACTAAGGATGGAAGTAGGCCAAGGGTGGGGAGAGGAGGGTTTGGCCAGGCTCTGGCCCCAAGCAGTGCTTGTATCTGAGGGTCTCCTGTGGATAGCTGGGTTTTCAGGGTGGAGATGGTAGTCAGGTGGACAGAGACTCGGAGCTGGTGTTGGGCAGAGGCTCTCCGACTGGAATTTCATCATGGCCACCCTGCTAGGGCTGCTGGCCTGGGAGCCGCCATCCCTCCAGGGTCCACCAGGTCTGCAGCAGAACTCCAACACCCCTCCCACTTCATTTCTCTTCTCTCAAGGGCTCCCTTATCCACATGGCTTCTGATGACCACATCAGCACCTCCTCTGTCTCCCTAGTTCAAGCTTGGGGACCACAGTGTCCTCCTGCATGGCCTTGTCCCCCACCCACACACCAGTGGTCATTTTGCAAAAACAGGGCAGGCGATGCGGCCCTTGGCAGCCTGATAACTCCTCTGGCTTCAAGTGACACAAAACTAAGATCTCAGTGCCAGGCTGAAGCTCTGCAGACCCCCTGGGCCACCGCCCTCCCGACCTCAGACCCTTGAGTCAGTGGCCCCTGGAGGTGGCTGTCTGGCACATCCTGGCCACTGCCAGGTCCCCACTAGGATGCTGGACGCTTGTTCAGAGTCCATTTCCCTGGCAGCTCACTGGGGTGTTTGCCGCCTGACCTCGTTTGCCCTGGCCACTGCCCCGACCCCCACCAGCCCGTCCTGCACACACGAGGCGTAGCCTTCTTTCAAGCCTTTATTCGGCTCGTGTCTGAAGCTCATAGACGTCGGGCAGCAGCGAGCTTTCAGAGCGGGTGGAAGATGGTGGATGGTGTCTACGGGGCTGCATGGGGCTCTGACCCCCGAAGGTGGATGCGGAGGTGTCAAGTGACCGGTGTCAGGCGGTGGCTGTGTTTCAGGCTGGCACGGAGGTCGGGCCGGCACCATGGCCACCTGGCGGGGTGCCTGCCAGGTCCCTGCTGGCTGCACTGTTGTGCTGTAGGAGCCTCTGGGCAGCGGGTGGGTGTGGACCGCACAGTGTGCTTCAGCCTTGGCTACCAGACGCGGCATCGCTTCTTGGGGTACATGCGGGACCCCTGGGTGCAGTGGAAGGTGTCAGCGAAGGCAGCCAGGTTCTGCAATGAGCCCAGCACCCTGCAGACGAGCGGGTGGACAGAACAGCCTGAGACAGGAGCCTGGGTGTGTTCGGGGGCACGGGAGTGGGCAGGGGGCACTTGCCTGTACTTCAGGGGACTGTGGACGTCAGTCTTGATGGACTGGATGGCAAACTCAGGCCGGTAGGACCCGCACCACACCTGCGGGTGCACCAAGGGCGTGGCTACAAGGCTGTGGGGCTGGAAGGGTGCCCCTGGTTGTGGCAGGGGCCGCAGCAGTCCCCACGGCCCAGGCCGCCCCTCGGGTGGGGGAGGAAGCCAGCAGGTGCTCTCCTCCCTGGACACTGGCTCTTCCTAGCTCCCTCCCCTGCCAGCCTCTTCCTCCAAAAAGCCTTCCAGGACCACTGGTTCTGGTTCTGTGGTCTGGCCAGCTCACAGTGTCCCTCGAGGCCCTATAGTGGGCCCTCCAAAGTGCCAGGCTGAGAAGTGGGCCCTCCAAGGTGTGGTGGGGAGGCTGGGGGCGGGTGGGACAGGAGCTGCACCTGGGCGTAGTTGACGAAGAAGAGCTGATTGCAGGTCAGCTTCAGTCCTGGTAGTTGCTGGTCCTTGCCGCCCTCCTTGGTCCACTTTAAGTAAGCCTGCAGGCCCAAATGGGTGCTGGGCCTGGCCAGTGCAGCCAGGCCTTCTGAGCCCTTTGATCTCCATGCAGAATGGAGGTTGGCTCCAGGACCTGTGGACGGGGGCCCTGCTCTGCAGCTTAGGGCCCTCGGGCACACCCCTGATTCCCGAGCTGCCTCCGCATGCTTACTCCAGCAGGGCTCCTTGGGGTCTGGCCAGGTGGCCTGCCAGCTGGTGCCCACCCGAATGGGTACCTGGTACCTAGGGCTCATCCATTCCTGGCTGTAGGTGAGGGATGCTGAGGTGGGTGGACATGTGGTCACTAGTCCACTACCTCATTTGGAGATGGTAAGTGGCCAGCTCAGGCCGGTTGAGGCCCAGGGCCTACCCATGGCCAAGAGGTGCTCTGGGGCAATGCTGCCTGCCCAGTCAGGAAGAGTCCCCAGGACACGGTCTCAGCCCATGCTGAAGGCCCTCTGTCCCCTGCTCGAGGCTCCTGCTCGGACCCACCTTGTACGCCTGCCGCACTCCTCCGTTGTCCGCGATGTTCTCCCCCAGGGTGCTGTATCCGTTCACCTGTGCACAGAAGACAGGTGGGCGCGGGCCCGGCCCTGGCCCCGGCCCCGGCCCCCCTTTCCCGCAGCACCAGGGCCGAGTGTGGGTGGGCACGGTGGCAGGCGCTCACGTTCTGCTTGTCAGCCAGGTCCCAGGTGTAGTTGCTGTACTGGTAGACCATGCACTCCGACTGCTTCCGGAAGTGCCAGGCCGAGAAGTTGCTCCACCAGTCCAGCATGTTGCCGTTCTTGTCGAAGTTCCGGCCTGAGCAGGGCAGTGCGGAGCTGGCTGTCCCCCAGCCCCAGCCTGGACTTGCCCTCCCCCCAGCCAAGGCCTGTCCACGGTCAGGCTGCTTGTGCTGGCCTCCAGCCGACCGCAGGAGCTGGAGCTCACACTCCTGGGCAGAGCCCGAGCCCTGCAGAGCCGGACACGCTCAGAGGGGACGGGTGTACTGCAGGGCTTCAGCCCCAGAGAGGGAGGGCTTCCGTGGCCCCCCACACCCTGACATTAGGGCCTGCTGTTACTGGGTCCTGGGGTCCTAGGGACACTGGGTGTATGGCTTCCTCTGGACGTGCTAACTTTCTAAACCCCAGGTGAGGGAACAGGGCCCCCAGGAGCACAGGGGTGCCCTTGGGGGGATCCCCATGACCATCTTGGGGAAGTGACCAGCCATGAAGGGGAATCAGGACCTTGCTGTACCCCTGGTGGTTTCTCTGGATGGGGCCCTGGGTGGCATTCAAGACCTAATCTGCCCCAGCTCCCTCGAGTCCAGCACATGTTCCCATGCCCTGGCCTGTGTCCCCCCCCCCCCCCCACACCCCCCCCCCGGCCCCCGCCGCTCCTGCACGCAGGTGTGTGGCTGGCAGGTGCAAATCTGGTCTGGAGACCCCGGCAGCCCCTTACCGTTGTCATCAAAGCCATGTGTGATCTCGTGCCCAATCACCATCCCGATGCCCCCGAAGTTCAGGGCCTGCGGCTGTTCCTTGCTGAAGAAGGGTGGCTGGAGGATCCCAGCAGGGAAAACTGTCCCCAAGGGGGACAAAGAATAAACTGAGTGGGCACATCTGTGTGCCAGGCTCAGGTGTCACCTCCAGGGTCCCACCATCCACTCCCGTGGCTGGGAGATGGACTCCTCCTCCCCGATGTACAGCTCAGGAAACAGGCTGAGAGGCCGAGAGGGTGGGGCTAGATCTGGGACCCTCTGGCCTCTTGGCCACCGTGTGCCTTCAGGGACTGCCCCCTGCGTCCCCCTGACTCCTGCAGCTGCGCAGCCCTGACGGGTGACAGTGAGGTGGGAGAGTGCACTCCCCTTCTGGCAACCGCTGGGGGGGCTGCCCCAGGACTCTGGGGGCGGGGTGGGCAGCGAGGCGGCGGGCATACCAATCTGGTTTCGGTTTGGAGAGTAGAATGCGTTGACCACGGCAGCCCCGATGATCCAGCTGTGGTGAACACACCGTCACCTGGGCCCCCGTCTGCTGGGACCTTCCCTCGGCGCCTCCCTGCCCTGGCTGGCTAACGCCTGTCCTGTCACAGTGGCCGTGCCAGAGCACGTGCCATGCCTGGTCGTCAAGATCCAGGTACTCTCTGCACCTCCCCCAAACGGGGTGGCGGGGAGTCTGAGTCGGGCCCAGTGTCCCTCCCCAGCCTCAGCCAGGCACAGGGCCACCCCTACCAGCAGGTAGCTCCTGAAGGCCACACTGGCCACGCCACTCACAGATTCTGGTCCACCTGTTCCCGAAGCTTCTTGAGGCTCCTGTGGGCATTGGCCTTGAGGTTCTGTAGCCCATTCTCAAAGTACAGGTCCTCTGAGAAGTTCAGCTATGAGAGAGGGGCGGCCACGGCGGTGCTCAGGCTGGTCCTCGGAGGGATGGGCGAGGGGTCCAGGGTGGTCAGGGAAGGGCCTCGAGACTCGCCAGTAGCCAGCCATGGCCCCTGCTCTGGGTGCAGACGGTGGGGTGGGGGGATGAGTGGGGCCCTGGCCCTCAACATCTACCTATGTGACTCTGAACCACCCCCGGACCCGAGTCCCCCGTCTGCAAGCTGAGATGATGCTAAAGCCACCCCAGGCTGTGGGAGGGTGCCTGGCCCAGAGCCCCGTGTCCCCGTGGTGGTTTGGAGGCAGGGGCTGGGCGGTGGGCAAGGCAGGCAGAGGTCCTGAGGGGCCCTGGGGGTCGGGGCGCACGCTGGAATACTCCTCGTCCAAGCGCTTGTTCCCCTCCAGGATGTAGTCTGGGTAGCCGATCTGCTCCTGGATGCCCATGGCCTGAGGGGGAGAGGACTGGTTGTGCCCCGGCTCCCCGTAGGAGGCCACCTGCCAGTTCTGCTCCCTGCCTGGGACTAAGGGCCAAAGCCCCAAGAACTGTGTAGCCAGCCAGGGCCTGGGGAGTCGTCTATTTGTCCCACAGGTGCAGACCCCCCACTCCCTGGCCACGGCCCCTGCCCACAGCCTGTTCCTGGAGTGGCGGGGATTTCCCATTCCTGATTCCCCACCTGGGGCCGCCCCTGTGGGTGGAGGTCCTGACCTCGGGGCTACTGGGGGCCTCTGAGTGGCTTGCCCCACCTTCTCCTGGGCCTTCTTCTTAGACTCCTCGTCCATCCAGTTCAGCTCATCCAGGGTCTCCACAAACACAGCCCGCACCTTGTTGATGAGTTCTTTGACCTGGGGCACATGGCCTGTGTCCTGGACTCATCAGGGGGCCGTGTGACCCACCTTCAGGGACTTTCGGGTTACTGATCTAAGACACCTCTGGAGGTGTCCCCGGGCTGCCCCAGCTGGGGGCTTCCTGGGTGACGTGTGGTGTTGGTATGGGGGTGACCACCTCCATTCAGGGTCCCTGCCCTGGGGCTCAAGTCCTTGCAGGTGCGCAGAAGGCCTGCTGGCCCTGGGCTCACTGTGTGTAGATCTTGTGCCTGGCTCAGGTGGTCTGCAGGGCCCAGGGCTGGGGGCAGCAGGGATCTGGGGGTCAGAAGCACTGGGTGGCAAGGTTCCCTGGCCTCCCTCTGGGGCCTCTGGGACAAACACGTGCCCTCTGGATGTCCCTGAGCGAGATGCACAGGGGCCTGGCCTGGGTGTGCCCCGTGTGGAGGGCCCGCCTTCCCATGGCAGGAAGCAGCACCCACCATGTTCTTGCTGTCCTTGGAGAAGGCCTTCTTGACGTAGAGGGAGCCCACGGCGCTCTCCATGTTGCTGTTCACGTAGCCCACGCACTCCTGCCAGCGCACCTCCTTCACCGTGGTGCCGTACAGCGCCTGGCATCGGGCTCTGCCTCACTGCGCCTGCCCTCACGGTGCACCCTCAGGTCCCGCGTGGGGCCCTGGGTCTGTGAGGCCAGCAGACCCACCCTGTCCCTGGTCTTGGGGTGCCACCGGCCAAAGTGGGATGTGGGACATGGGATGTCTCAGACTTGCTTCCAAGTGCTGGCTGTGGGTGTGGGAGCTGGACAGCTGCGGGGCTCCCACCCACCCAGGCCAGGTGCTGGGCCGCTACTCTGGGAGAGGTGGGGTGATCTGCTGGGCCGGTCCTCCCTCCGCCCTGGTTATCTGCCTCCAAGACACAGGGCTAGTGTTGACCCTAGAGCAAGCTCTGGGGACTGTGTCCACCCTGGCCACTAGCCCCAGCCCCCTGGGCCCTGTTTCCCTACCACTGAAGTGGTGATGAGACCGCATGCCCGTGTGTCCCCAGGGGTGGAAGGGGAAGGCATGGAAATGTGATCCGGCCAGCGAGTGTCCTGCCCGGTGCCCTGCCGCCCCTCCTGGCTGCGGGATTGCCTGCCTTTGGGAAGCTGGCTTGCCCCTTTGCTGGGTCTGGCCTCCTGGGCTGCCTGTTCCTGCCTCTGGGCCTCTGCCCTGGCTCTCTGCTCCCTGCAACTCTCCCCTGGTCTCTCTACTGCCCTTAAGGTCAAAGTCACCTCCATGTGGCAGCTTGCTCTGTTCCTGTCCCCTCCCTTCAGTCACACTTGCTTTGGACAGGAGGTTTCTGCTTTGCTGACTGCTGGTTGTTGACTGCCCCAGGGGGCAGGTGCTGGGCCTGCCCAGCCCATGCTTTGCCCCGTGGCCTCCTGTGGGGCCCCCAGCTTATGCTCAGTCACCTGTGAAAGAGCAGGGCCCGGCCCCGGGCAGCCTGGAGCCCTGCAGCAGGGAGGGCTCACCTTGCGATAGCTCCCGCGCGCGTCCTTGAATCGCTGGCTCAGGGTGCTGATGCGATCCAGCACCAGGCGCCAGACCAGGTAGTTCTGCATGGTCCTGGGGCAGGAGGCAGGGCAGGGGCAGCACAAGTGAGCTGCTCGGCCGAGAGTGGGATGCAGCTTGGCCAGCGCATCCTGCCCACGCAGAGCTCCAGGTGCCAGAGTGACCCAGGCGTCAGTCTGCCTGGCCCTGGTTTCTAGCCTAAGGCTCCACAGCTGCTAAGTGTGACCTCCCTTGTCCCCGGACCTGAGGGCACCTACTTGATGCAGCCCTCTCCTGAGAGCGGAGCTGTGTGTGTGGACGGGGCAGCGACACACAAGCTGTGGCCCTTGGGCCCTTCTCTGGGCCTCACCTGGGAGGGTACATGTGGATGACCTCTTCGAGGTTCTGCAGGTAAGGAACGCCATAGACCACCACCTCCTCATTGGGCAGCAGCATGATCTTGACCGAGGACAGCACGGACTGTATGAACAGAGTCCAGTTGAATCCCTGCAGGAGGAGGGAGCAGGGAGAGATGGACAGCTCCTGGGCACCCAGGAAAGCCAGCCCCACCAAGGAGTACCCAGGGGAGGGGAGCAGGGAGCAGTACAGCACTTGGGTGGCCGTCCACAGAGTCCAGGGGCCCGGAGGCAGGTGAGAGTTTGTGAAAAGTTAAGTGCAATTAATGAAATCCCTGTGAGAAATAACGGTAGAAACAACAAGCAGAAAATATAAATGGTCTCACGGGTTAAGTAAACTGACTCTTTCAGTTGAAACATTCCCACAAATTTCCAGGCCCGTCTGTTTTTTCCAGTGCATTCCATCTGACATTTAGGGAGAACAGACTGTTGATCTTATTAAGGACCAGGGTAAGGAGATAATAAGAAAACACTAACCAGTGTTATGATAGTATATGCAAAAATTCTGAGCAAAATGTTAGCAGATAGAATGCAGCTGATCCCAGGGGTCACTGGCGTGCGTCACAGGCCAGCTATTTGAGGAGTACAAGTTTGGTGTCACATTTCAAAATCCCATCAGTAGAATTCACTACGGTAACTGGATAAACGAGGAGAGTCACATGATAATTCTGATAGATACAGAAAGGGCACTTAGTAAAATTTACCATCACTCACTATAAAGACTCTTGGCAAGCTAAAAATAGTTCTGTGACCTGATGTGGGAAATCTACAAACAGTTCCAGCCACGACGGGGAAACTGTCCGGCAGGCCAGACTGGCGAGGCCCGGCCCCGCTGCCTGACCCAGCGCGACAGGCCGAGTCTCCCACCAGGACGGCAGGCGGCGTGCCCCCAGGGTGAAGCGGGACAAACGAGGATTGGCGGGGGACGCTTCCCGCGTGGCGCTTCCCCAGATGGGTGATTTCTTGTGTATGAAGCCTGAGAATCTGCAGAGGAATCATCAGGACTAACAGGGGAGCTGAGGAACACCCTGTTTCCCAAGGTGGGATCTCTGTGTGCGGGCGGCCAACCAGGAGGTGGACTGACTACACAGAGCCACTCACCCCGGCACGCACAGAGGCCCTGGGAATAAACCTGGGGCGAGCTGCGAGAGAGCTGGGAACCAGCTCCACAGAACCCAGAGAAATGGGAAGTCATGAATGAATGGAGGCTTCTATCGGGCTCAGAGGTGGGAAGTGCGGAAGGAGAGTGCAGTCCAGCTGCCCGTCTTCCTCAAAGCACTTCCTAGCAGAATCCCAGCAAGCACTCTGTGCTGATTGAAGGTTTTGTATGAAAATACAGGGGCTGGGGTGGGGCTCAGTGGCAGAGCGCTGGCCTGGCGTGTGTGAGACACTGGGCTCGATTCTCAGCACCACGTATAAATAAATGAATAAAATAAAGGTTCAGCAACAAATAAACTATATTAAAAAAAAATGCAAAAGGTCCAGAAGAGTTCAGACAACCTTCTTTTTTGTACTTTAAATTTTTTTTTAAAGACGTTGATGGACCTTTATTTTATCCATTTATTTATACGTGATGCTGAGAATCACATCCAGGTCCTCACACATGCTAGACAAGTGCTCTACCACTGAGCCACAAGCCCAGTCCCCACCCCCAGCCCTTTTTATTTTTTATTTTGAGACAGGGTCTTGCTAAGTTGCTGAGACTGGCCTTGATCTTGGATCCTCCTGCCTCAGCCTCCAGAGTTGCTGGGATTACAGGCATGCGCCACCATTCCTGACCAATATAGATGGTCTTTTGAAGGACCAAGTTGCCAAACTGATTGGATATCAAGAGTCCTCAGAAAGCTGCAGTAGTGAAGGTGACCGTGGCTGGCACATGGACAGAGACCAACAGAACAGAAGAGTGTCCAGAGACACACAGAAACACACTTGGTTTACACCAAAGATGGCACTTGCCAGTGGTCAGGGGGTCATCTTATCAACAGATGGAGTGGTCATGGGAGATTCCTAAGGAAGAGACCAGACAACCCTCCCTCTCACTGTGGCTGCCAACCAGTTCAGGGCAGACCGCAGGCCTGGTGCAGAGTCCAGACAGACACTGGAGCATCAGCATGCAGAGAAGATTGCTACGCCTTTGATAAGTCGATAAACTGGACGGTTTCAAACACTCCTCGGAAAGAAAGGGCCTGCCGCGGGAGTGGGGACGCGAGCTGCTCTTGGGGGACCCTGGCCACCAAGGGGTGCTTCTGGAGCAGGCAAGAGCTCCGCCAGCAGCAGGGGAAAGGCAGACAGCTGCAAGACCAGGGCAAGGGACTGAGCGGACACTCCCAGAGGAGGGAGCCGCGGTCAGTGGACGGAAACGGCACCCAGCCTCGTGGGCCTCAGGAAGCCCAGCTGGACGCAGATGCAATGCCACACATGCCCAAGGTGGGTTGGGGAGAAAGGTGGGCGCCACCCAGCCCTGGTGAGGCGTGTGGGCCGTGAGCCGCGGGGAAGGCCGGCGCGTGCCGCCCACGACTGAACGGCCCCTCCCACCTGGCACTGCCCACACACCGCAGACGATGGTGCCGCAGCCCCGCCAGCCCAGTCGGGGGCCAGGGTGCAGCTGCCGCGTTACCAGCTGTCACTCTGTGCTAGATGCAGGCATGCGGGGTCACCTCGAGGTGTGGGACAGGAGCCTGGGGTCAATATCAGGCGCCACATCCCTGCTCCTCGTGTGGGGGTGAGGGCGAGGTGCCCAGGGAGGAGACGGCAGCAGGGGCGGCAGGGGCAGCAGGGGCAGCAGGGGCCTTGGCCGGGTCCTGTCACTGGGCACTTCACAAGCCTCCCACCACTCCCAGGCCACCCCAGGCACCTCCAGGCCACCTGAGGACTTCCTCCGCCTCCTGCCTCTGGCCCTGAGGGCTCTTCCTTCAAGATAAGCACAGCCTCCACCAGGCCCACTGCCCGGCCTGCCCTGCCCTGCCTGGCCCCAAGCCCTCTCACAGGAGTCCAGGCCTTTATATGGTCCCCAGGCTGATGCAGTCCACTGGCTCAGCCCCCTGACCCCTCGCAGCCCTGCCTTGGGCCCTTGGTGGCCCCGACAGCCGGGCAGTCTCCCTGGCCCCTCTCCCCATGGCCAGCACTGGCCCTGCGTGGCTTTCTGCTTTCCTGCACATTCCGGGTCACTCGCCTGCCGTCCCTCCCTGGGTGGGCCAGGCTTCGTTCTGTGCCCCGATGGAGCCCAGTCCTGGCCCTGCAGAGGTCTGCTGGACAGGGAGCCAGGGGCTGGGTTGGGGGGAGGGGTGTTGCAGCTGGCCATCTCTCGGGGCCAGTGTGCAGGACAGGGACTGGGCTTCCCAGGACACCAGGGGTGATGAGCGGGGTCCAGGGCTCTCTCCAGGGTTCTAGTCTTATCCTTGGGAGAGCCTGTGACGCTCATGTGACTGGTCAGGAGGAGGAGCTCCGGGTCCGTTCTCCTCCCGCGGACTTCCTTTGCCACAGCTGCTGAGGCTGGACCTGCACTGCTTCTGCCCCTCCTGGATACCCCTGGAGCTGGCCAGCCCCTCAGGGCAGGGCTGGGTGGGCTGAGCCACTGCCGGGCTGGGGGCCAGATCCCTGCCCTTGGCTACGTCGCTTCTCTGCTGCCCCCCAGCCCAAGGCTCTGATCTCCGGGCAGGGAAGGGCCATGGGAGCCCCACGGTCAGGGTGGGCAGAGCCCCTGGGCCGGGAAGACCTTAGGACAGTCTGCAGCCTCCCCATCCTGTTTCCTGATAAACTGGGGTCACCCAACCCTCATGGTGAGACAGGGTGACTGTCCCTGATGACAGGTGGTGACTGCTGTCCCTCTGGGATTGGTCACCATGCTTGGTTGTGCTCAGCATATTACTCTTTGGGTGCAGCGAGTTGGTCCCTGCCTGGGGGAGCTTGGTTGAAGCACAGTGGGGGTGAGGTCAGGCCCGGGCCGGCGCTGGCACTGGCCTCCGGTGCACGCCAGCCTCACCTTCAGGGAAAACTTGTGCTGGAGGTCTTTCAGGTTCATCCTGTGGTACAGGGCCGTGACGTCGTGTCTCTCCTCCTGGGGCACTGTGGCCTGCATGTAGGCTGGGGTCACGTGGGGTGGGTGGCTGGAGCCTGGCCGAAGACCCCTGGCCCGGTCCCCGGCCCCGCCTCACGTTGGCCAGGTGCGTCTCCAGCTCCAGCACCTGCGTCATGTCCTTCCGCACTAGCTTGTTGTCCTTGGGGAGCTTCTTGTCCTTCCGCAGCATGGTGGCCACCGATATCATGAACTGCAGGTAGGCTTCCCGCACCTGGGCCAAAGGACCGTGGATGGAGTTGGGCCGCCTCGGCCGCCTTGGCCGCCTTGGCCACCCTGGAGCGCTCTGTGGGGTGGGGTGGGTGATGACGTGGAGCAGCCCCCAGGGAGCCCGTCTGGCCAACCTCAGCCCCCTGGCTCTGCAGCACACAGTGCCCTGTGCCTGCCCAGCTCAGAGCCCGGTGGCCCCCATCACACTCCCAGAACAGCTGTGTGCCCCGTGGACCTGCTGTCCACCCAAACTGTGGTGTCGGGCCCCACACCAGGGTCACACCAGACGGCTCACACTAGGCCATTCCTGACCCAGCTCCATCCCTGCTGACCAAGTGACCCATGCCCCAGCCTCTGTGGCAGAGGGCTCTGAAGGGCTGGCCCTGCAGGCACCTGTGAGGCTCATGTTGTGGGAGGAAGCCTGGGGTGGGGGCTCCTAGCCAGACTGAGACCCCCTTTCCCCTCCCATCCTGGGAAGGGCTTTCCTCAGGGCGAAGGAGCCGTAGAGGCCACCCCTGTACGCTGCTCTGCTCCAGGCAGAGGCCACCCCTGTACGCTGCTCTGCTCCAGGCAGAGGCCTCCCCTGTACGCTGCTCTGCTCCAGGCAGAGGCCACCCCTGTACGCTGCTCTGCTCCAGGCAGAGGCCACCCCTGTACGCTGCTCTGCGCCAGGCAGAGGCCACCCCTGTACGCTGCTCTGCGCCAGGAGGGCCAGTGCCCCCTGCAGGTCTGATTGAGGTGGCCCATGACGGGACACTCCAGCTCCTGATGTCTGAGGATTCTCCCGACCCCTGGGCTCCATGCTTTGGCGTCAGCCGTCCTTCTTCCTGGCCTGACCCATCCTTCAAAGCTCAGCTCACTGCCCCTCTGCCAGGAGGTCCCCCAGGGCTCCCCGCCCTTCCGTCGGGGCCACCCACACCTCCTGCCTTTCTGCTCTGCTCCTGGGGTGCCCCACCCCCTACCTGCTCTCTGCTCTCTGACTCTTCCCTGACCCCAGCCCCCTTGCCCTGGCTGGCCTTTCTGGACACTTGTCTCTCTCTCCTGACTGAGCCCCTTGCTACAGGAGCAGAGTGTGGGCTCGGGCCCAGCTGCTCATGCTGGGCATGTCTGTGCAGACCCTGGCAGTGTGGCCTGCTCTGCATGGCAGGGCTGGTTGGGGCTGGCAGGTGGCCCACAGGCTGCCTGCTGGCTGAGGTCTCCTGAGCCTGGCAGAGGGTGTTGAAGGTGAGCCCTTGCATCTGCGTCCCTGGCATCCAGTGCCAGGCTGGACCCTGGAACTTGCCACAGAAGCTTGCTGTGGGCTGCAAGGGTCTGTGGACAATGGAGCCCCTGGCCCCAATAGGCCCTGAGGTGGAAGGGGGCAGGCCCGGCATGGGCGGAAGGGCCCCAGCTCACCTTCTTGCTGTCACCCTCGCTGAAGTAGTACTCCCGGGAGGGCATGCCCAAGGTGGGCTGGTCTATCTGGAAACACAGAGGGTATGACCTTGGGCAAGAGCCCGGGGTCCACAGCCTGCAGCACCCCTCCCAGGACTGCGCCCAGTGGGATACTCGCACCCCTGAGGGTAGATGCTATAGAGTGTCACCCCAGGAGCCTAAACTAGCTCTGAGTGACAGGGAGGGTGGGCAGGGCCTGGAGGGCAGGACTCGGGGAGCCAGAGAAGGGTGGAGGGCCAGGCCCTGCAGGGCCCCTCGGTGCTCAGTCCTCCCGGAGTGGCCTCACACATGTTTCCCTGGGGCCCTGGGAGTAGGCTTCCTGCCCTGGTGCCAAAGGCCTCCTTGTCCCTGAGAACCACAGAAATCCTGCTCCATGACGTCCGTCCCCAGAGGCTCAGATGTGGGCCAGGAAAGGGCCCAGGGAGCCCAGGCCCTGAGCACACAGCCCCACTGCCCGGGCCTGTGTCCCCCCGTCCTCGGAGGCCCTGCCTGGCCGGCCCAGGGGCACGTACGTAGATGATGTGGCGGCTGGAGTTCTGGTCGTCATTCCAGATGAAGAGGTCGATGAGGATGCGCCTGTTGAACTGAGCGTTCATCAGGGCCAGCTGCTGCTCCAGCTTCCACTGGGGGCCTGGGGAGTCACATCCACTCTGGAGACCGTCAGGGCCTGGGGTCTCAGCCCAGCCCTCGCCAGGCAACGCGTCTGCCTCCTAAGCCCAGAGCTCCAGGTGGAGGGGACCCTTGCCCGGGTGGGGGTGACGAGCTTACTGTGGGCCCGGAGGGCTGGAGCGCAAGGGAGGGGTCACTCCTCCCCACACAGGCCACAGGGCCAACTGGGCCGCTAACTGCTCTGTGGTCACTCCGGACCCTGAGTTGGAGGGGTGCCGGAGCACGCTCAGAACTGGGAGTCTAGGGGTCCGGGAGGGGTGCCCTCTGCAGAGCTTCGGGGTCAGCTCTAGGAAGCCCCAGTCACAGATGGCACTCGCTCTCTGGCTAGGACCCTGAGCCTGCTCCCAGGGCCCTGAGGTTGGGCTGGCAGAGATGGGCCTCTTGGGACTTCCTGAGAGCTGGCAGCCAGACAGACGGGTGGCCTCCCCTGGAGGGCCTGGTCCCAAGGTGTCCCAGGGGCTATGTCCACTTGTCTGTTCTCCAGGCCTGGCCTCACCTTTGGTCTCATTCCATTTGTCCATGATCACTGGCCACCCTCCCACGGTCTCTAGGACGTCCAACAGGGGCCGAGAGTCTCGTTTCTCTATCACGCCTAAGAAGGGGAAGAGGGGGGGCTCACATGCCTGACACGGGCCCAAGGGGACAGGTCACACCCAGCCCACGCCCCCTTCACAGGATCAGCATCTTAGCGCAGCGTGGAGGGAGCTGGGGCTGGCGAGCACACGGCCCCGGGACAGGGCAGGGACCTGGGAGCTGGCAGCAGGTGAGTGAGCCTACGAAAGCAATGACCAGCCTGACCAGCACTGCCACGGTGGTCCCCAGAACTGGCAGCCCTGGGTGTTCCAGCGGGGGTGGGGCTGTGCTGGGGGCTTGACTAGAGATGATGGCTGGAACCCAAGACAGGCGCCTCCGGTGCAGAGCGGGTCTGCGGAGGCTCAGGAGAGCAGCCGCCCGGAAGTAAGTGCAGGCCGTGCAGAAAAGGCAGAGACCGAGGACGGCCACGGCACCCACGCACACCCACACATGGGCACCTGCACAGAGCACACACCTGCTAGACACGCACACAATGCACATGTGTGTACACATCACAGAAACACGTGTGTATAACACAGAGACACTTGCGATGGTTGTGTACTACACACACACACACACACACACACACGCAACACCCACACATGCATGCTTCTCCTGGGCTCCCGGCAGGACCCCTGCTGCCTGGACAGAGAGTGGCCTGGGTGTGAGCGAGATCACAGGGCCGCTGACAACAGGTCTGCTTATGGACCCACAGGCCAGGTGGAGGGCACAGCACACAGACCCATGGCCTGAGCCCTGAGCAGTGTCCACTCCCACGCCTGGGCCCTGGCAGGAGCAGCCCACCTGCAGGTCTCACCAGGGCCCTTCCCTGGGGTTTGTTTCCTGCTGGGGGTGGCTGAGTCCCTGTACTGGGCCCAGGGGATGCTGAGGCTCCCTGCAGAGAGCTCTCAGCTGGACCCCCTTCCTGCAGACACCCAGAGCCCCCCCGGGAGGCGGGGACGTGCAGACAGACTACCTGGCGCCCACTCACTCTTGTTCATGCAGGAGCGGTACAGCATCTTGGCCTTCTCCACTGCGGGCCGGTCCTTGTCAGTGGACTTCTCCAGCACACCTGAGGGCAGAGGAGAATGTGGACAGAGGCCTGAGGTGACTGCTGGGGGCCAGGTCAGCAGGCCTGTGCCCTGGGAGCTCCTGATAAAGGGGAGACCCAGGAGGCCCCGGGGGCTGCACTGAGAGACCCAGCCAGCCCCCTGTCCTGGCTCAGTGCTGTCCCCACGCTGCTCCCGAGGTGGTGGCTGCTCCACCTTTGAGGATGACCTCCAGCTCATCGCGCAGGATGTCGAAGACGCTGTACCGCGAGCTGGTCTCGGGGATCACGTGACGCCGCAGCCAGCCTCCGCAGGCGTACTGGTAGAAGTCGTCACAGGGCTCCTTGGTTGGGTCCATGTTCTGCAGGATCCTAGCAGCTGCTTGTCCCAGGGTGGGGTGCAGATGGCCTGACTTGACTCTCTGCTCAGGGAGTCTCCCTCCCCAACCAGCTGCAGCCATGTGCCCCTGGGAGGGTCAGTCACCCTCTCTGAGCCACGTAAGGTTGGAATCAAAGGTGGGTTCCAGTCTGGGGCTGTTGCTCAACGACTACATGACCTTGAAGCCTCGTGGCTTCCTGAGTCTCACTTCTGGGGACACAGCAGTCTGACCCGAGAGGCCCTGGGTGGAGACGAGCCTGGCTCCAGGCTGCTGGCCCTGCCCTTGAGCTGGTGCCAGCTCCTGGCTCCTGGCAGGACCTGAGCCTCTCAGCCATCAGGTGTGCTTAGCCCCCCTCTGGGGTTTGTTTCCTGCTGGGGGTGGCTGGGTCCCTGTGTGGGGCCCAGGGGATGCTGAGGCTCCCTGCAGAGAGCTCTCAGCTGGACCCCCTTCCTGCAGACACCCAGAGCCCCCCCTTGAATCCTGCTCCCTTGGAGGCTGGGGACGTGCAGACAGACCACCTGGCGCTGCAGGACCGACTCTGGCAGAAGCGCCTGCTGGAGTCTCTCCTGTCCCTTCCCCACCCCACCTGTGCAAATGGTGGCCTCTGACCCCAACAGGAGGCAAGTGTGTGCAGAGCAGAGCCCTGGTCCTCAGAGCCACCAGGCTGCAGCTGCAGGGGCACGAAGGAGGTGCACGGAGCCCCAGCAAGCCCGGCCCCCCACTCCAGGAGGGCCCTGGGTGGGCTGCGCCTCACCTGCCATCACGCAGCCCGAGGTGGTGCAGACCTCCGAAGGCGAGGACTCTTTGATGGCTGCCAGCAAGGGGTGGTGTGAGTGCCCGGGAGTACGGGTGGTCAGGCCGGGTGGGCCCGTCCTCACCACGCCTCCACCCCAGAGCCGGTCCAGCCTCAGCCTCAGGGCATCTCTGCAGCACAGCCCAGGGCTTCCCCAAGGGCAGCTGGGATGACCCGTGAGTGACCCAGGGCCCCTTTTACATCCCCTGCCCCCACTGGCCCTGCAGTGGCCAGGCCCCTGAGGCTGACGCTGGCCATGCCTTCCTGCCTCCATTGTCGGGGACCTGCTCCTCCAGGTGCCCCCTGTGCTGTCCCCACCCTGCCCTTGTCCCAGCTGGACGCCTCATAGGCAGTGCCCAGTGGCTCCCCAGCACCCAGCTCTGACCCAGCAGGTGCTCAAGGTTGGCGTCCCTGGACTGTCCTCTCTTCCCCCACACCCCTCCTGCCCCCACGCGCGGCTCCCGGCCCTCCAGGGAGACCCCGCCCCGTGGCAGGCGCGGTTGCCGAGCCCACCTCCTTGGGGCTGTCTGGCAGGAAAGGCAAAGGCTACCTCGGGGTTTTCGTTTTATGGTGGTCGTCTCTTCCTGGGAGAAGTACGGCCGGCTAGTAAAGGGGGGCAGCTGCTTCCCTGGGGAGAGACACGCGCTCAGCTGGCCTCCAGCCTCGGCCTCCAAAGGACAGCACCAGTGTCCCTGCAGGGCCGGTTCTGCAGCCCCGCCCCCCCACAGTGAAGGATGGTCACCAGGGAACCGGGTGGCCAGCACAGGACAGAACTGTCTTCCTCTGTCTGCTTCCTGCTGGGCCTTAGCAGGAGGCAGACCCCTGGCTTGCTAGCCCCACCCTGGCCTGTTCCACCCAACAGGCTCCATCTATTGGGCAGCTCCTGGAGTCCCACCAGGGAGGCACCCTAGACCCTTCCTAGGGAGGTGACCCCTACCCTGGAAGCCTCCTCTCTGGCCCCTGCACCCTCTTGCACCCCCTCTGCTGAAGGTTCAAGGCCACCCTCCCCTCCTCTCCAGTACATGCAGGGGTCAGCACGGGGTCTTCTGAGAGGACTGTCAATTGTCTGGAGGGGAGTGTGGGGGACAGAAGGTGGAACCCCAGGTTTGGGGAGAGGGTGAGCCAGGCCTGGCCTCTCAGATCTGGCTTGTGGTTCCGTTTCCCCACCCAAGAGGCAGCAGACCTGGGGGTGGGGGGGAACAGGGACTGCTCTGCTCAGCCTGAGCACAGAGATGGCACACAAGGTGCTGGGGCTGGGAACTCGTCCCGTACTCCTGGTCCCACCATTCAGGGGCCAGTGATCCAACTCGGAGGGCTGCTCTAGGGCGTCCCTCTGGTGGCCACAGGAGAAGGCTCTGCAAGCCCCAGCAGCAGAGGAAGTGACCATTCAAATGCAAACCCGAGCTTGGAGGGAAGAGGCCAGAAAATGAGCTGTGGCCGCTTCACAGGTGCTTGCGGATCTCAGGAACCCGAGCCTGGGGGAGACTCTGGACCTCAGGAGGCCACACCCCCTGTGAAAGAGTGGACTGAAGGACATGTGACCTCCAGGGTTAGGGTGTGGCTGTGGTGTCGCCCCAGGCTCACGGGTGAGACATGCCAGAAAGGTCTGGAGGAGAGATGACAGGGCGACACCTTAACCCAGCCAGCGACTGACTCCCTGGTGGGACTGACTGAGGGTACTGGAGGCCAGAGGGGTGTGGCTGGAGGGGGTGGGATTGGGGCTGGGGCCGTGGGGTCTATATTTGTGTCTGGAGCTGGAGCCTGTCCTTGCTTCCTGATCACCTGGTGAGCTGCTTCCCTCCACCACACTCTCCCACCGTGATGCTCAGCCTCACCCCCAGCCCCAAGGAATGGAGCCAAATAAACCTGTCCCCCTCTATAATCGTTCTGGTCAGATCCCCTAGTCACAGCAGCAACGAGGTGACAAGGAGGAGAAGGGGCTTTGCAGACTGTGACTCCCACCCCACCAAGGTGAACAAGTCCTGCTACCCCGCGAGAGTTTTAGAAACCCACCAGGCAGCAGTGGGGGCTGAGGGAACCAGATTCTAGAAAGTGCGAGCCCTTCCCAGGCCAGGAGAGACTCTGGCTGCCCCCGGCCCCAGGCTGCTCACAGCCGTGCCCCTGGCTGTGGGGTGGGGGTCCTAGGAGACCCCGCCCACAGCAGTGCCTTCATATAGGCCGTCACAGGGTTCACGGGGGGCCTGCAGCCAGCAGAGAAGTCCCCCATGTGAGGAGGTGGCAAATGTGGCCCATGATCAAGCAGAAAACTCAAAATGGTGAAAAGAAGCGGACTCCTGCGTGACAGCTGTCGCACAGCAAGCCTTTGTCAGGCTGCATCGCCTAAGCGACAGGGTCATGTAGGAGAGGCGGAGCCCGGATGGACATGGGCGGGTGGCAGAAAGAGTGCGTGGAGGCGGGGCCTCGGTTTCCCTCCCAGAGTGGAGAACTGGTCACCGCTGTGACGGGCTCAGAACCCACAGGAGCATGTGGAGGTCTGTGTGGGTCGTGCGAACCAAGCACCAAGGGAAAGAGTCACACGGGAGAGAGGGAAACAGAAACCTGGCGGGGACGTCACAGGTGCGGAGTGGGCAGGGACGTCCTCCATCACCGGTGCTGCCCGGCCTCCTGCTGCAGGCCCTGCTGGTTCAGTATGGCAGGGAAAGGAAACAGGTGGAAGCCAGAAAGCTCTGTTTTCACATGCCGTGATCCTCTAGGGAGAAAGTCCCAAAGAACTGCCAAAAGGCTCCCACAACCAGAAACTAGCCCGCTCAGGGACCCAAGATTGACACCCAGGGCCCATGGCTTGCCTCTGCCCCCGAAGAGCAATTGGCATTCCAAGTTGGGGCGTGATGCCGTTTATAATGGCACTGAGATTGGTAAAGTCAGGTCGGAGTCTAACAAAATGTGCATGGGACCTTTATGTGGGGCTATCAAACACGGCTTGAAAAGTCACACATCTGAATGAACAGGAGGGAGCCTGTGTCCGTGGGTGGAGGATTAGTACCACTAAGAATTCATTCTCCCCAGCTTGGCCTGTGGGTCTAGCTCACTCCCATCCAAGGCTCAGCCAGCCATTTGTCACACGTACAGACTCTGCTCGGGCTGGCGTGGAGGGGCAAGGGACTAGCCTGGGGACACAATGGTGAAGAAGAGCCAGTGGGAAGGAGCACGGCACTTGACCCCACAACTCACCATGACCTGCGTGCTACCAGCCAGCAGCACACGGGCCAAAGAAGAGACACACGGCAAGAAACAGGTCAGCGGGGCAGAACAGAGGGCCCACAGATAGACCCACAGGACACGGGAAAGGGGCAGAGCCATGCACCCGAGAGAGGGCCCGCGGGACCAAGGCCACCGGCTGAAGAACTAGCTCAGGACAGACCACAAGACCAGTTCAACACAGAGCTATCCAATGTCTGGAGAAAACACTGAAGAAGAGGTGTGGGGCTTCGGGCTTGGTGAAGACTTCAAAGATGTGACATAAACAGCATGATCCAAAAAAGTCAAAGTGTAATCCGATGTTACTAAGTTTAAAACCTCTGTTCTGTAAAAGATCTGTTAAGAGAATAAAAAGGTAAGACGCAGTCAGAAAAAAAACATGCATCAGACAAAACGCTTTTATCCAAAATGGACAAAGAACGCTTCAAACTTGAGCATAAGAAAACAACACCGACTGAAAACCAGGAGAAAGATCTGACAAGACCCTCACCACAGGAGGTGCCCGGCGGGTGGAAAGGAACATGGCAAGATGCCGCCCTTCATTTTCCATCAGGGAGCTGCGGACTCCAACCACAAGGAGGTCCCAGGCGCCTGTTGGAATGGCTAAGTTAAAAGCAGGCCTGGCGATGCCGACCGCTGGCAGGGCTGCAGAGCCGCGGGACTCGTGCCGGGGGCGGGTGGGAGCCAGGCCCACTCATCTTGGAAGACAGACAAACTCAATTCAGTCGGAGAAGATGATCCAGCTACCACACTCTTAGGTGTTTACCCCACGGATTCAAAAACATGTCGCCACCAAGAATCCTGCTGGTGAAATTTATAATTGACATGAGCCAGAAGCCACCTAGACGACCTTCAGTAGGTGAATAAACAAATCGTCACCTGCATACAATGGGTGATTACTCAGCAGTGACAATGAATAAGCTATTAAGTCACAGGAAGCACATGCATGTTACGTGACTAAGTGAAAGAAGGCAATCAGCCAAAGGGACCCACAGCGTCCATCCATCTAGACCGAGTTCATGACGTCAGAGAGGGGAATGAAGGCCGGGTTGTCATCAGGGGGCAAGGGAAGAGGCCGTCAGTGCTTAAGAGGAAAAGAGCCAACTCGGCCTGGACCCCCAGGCCCGGTGGAGAGTGAGACAGACACACTTCGGACAAAACCCGAGGGAGTCTGTGTCTGCTCCCCGAGACAGGTGCGCCCTGCCTCCCGCTGAAAGGCACGCGCGCAGCAGCGCCCCGCACGGCGGGCAGGAGCGGCCGGCTCCATGCAGGTAAGGCCAGCGGTGAGGGGTTCCGGGAGCCAGGCCAGCGCTGGCCAGTGTGCCCCAGTCGGGTCAGGTGACCAGAGCTGGAGCCGAAGGGGGAAGTCCCCGCATGGCTGCCAGGGTCCCGTGGAGGGAAGGGCTGGGGGTTCCAGGCACTGCAGCTCTCGAGTGGCCTGAGGACGCACTGCCCTCCCGAGGCCACCCTTCCCGAGTGGAGTTAGGAGAGGCACGTTTTCCCACGTCACCTGTAAGGAAGAGCTTCTCACTGGTTATCATGGAGCCACTTGTCACTGGGGAAAAATGGACGGAGCTGGGGAGATACACCAGGCTCACGTCCCCGGTGGGTGGCTGAGCTTGGACGGCCAGGCCCCGACCTGTCATTCAAAATCTCTGTCCTTCCCAAGTAGGAGGACAATCAAAGAAGTGCGACCCCTGGATGTGAAGGTTGCAGAGACGTCAGCTTGCCTCTGCTGCTGAAGTGCGGCCAGCAGGAAGGACGGTGAGCAAGCCCCACAGCCAGGGAGGCCCCCCAGGGACGACAGCCTTCCCTAATGTCCAGGGACATATCTTCTCTTTGTCCTTCTACATTGGCTTAAATGCCAGTCATCTCACAGACACAGTAGTTGAAAAACCAGTTGTTTTTTAAATATTGTGCTATTCCCTCTTATAATCCAAGGTCCTTGAATTAAGACCTTTAGTCTCCCCTCTCCCTGTCGGTCTCTTTCCCTCCCTGGTCTACACAAGAGCTTGATGGAGACTCCCCTGAGAAGGTCCAACCACGCTGGTGGCCACGCAGGCCTGGGGAGCCAGCACCCGTGTCGTGGGCCTGGGGACACGCGGCTGAGACTCAGCAAGCAGCAGTCCCAGGCTGGCAGCGTCCCAAGGTCCCCATGGAGACAACGTGCCCCCAGAGGGAAACTGCCTCGGTTCCCAGGAGACAGAGTCCCGGAGACAAAGCCAGTTTGGATGTGATTCATGTTTATGGAAAGAAAATCTCCCCAGTGAGAACAGACACAGCAGAAGTAGAGCCCGATGTTTGCGGTTTGAACTCTTTGATCCAGAGAAGGGCACCCCCAACCCTCACCTCTGCACCTGTGCCTCGGCCACAGACTGCCATGGCCCCCACTGATGGGCAGGGGATACT